TCTTTTACACTGTACTAAAACGATTACTATATCTAGATCACGTGAAACGGAAGAAAACTAAATTACTTTTTTTCTGTTTTTCTTATATGATTCAATATATATTTTGCACGTAAGTATTGAGTCGAAATAAACCTAATAAAATTATACTTTTCATCTTGTCTCATCATATTCAACACTTATACATATATAAGTCATAGAGGAAAAGAATATCAAATTCACCTATCTAGTTTTTCTCATGAAATGTTGGCACATTAAGACAACAACTAAATGATGAAGAATAAATGTAGAGATTATTGTCTGGTTCCACGTCTCCTCTGAACATGTAATAACTCTTTCGATAAGTAAATAACATAAAATGTAAGAAAGCTTAATTACTTGTCTCTAATAGTCTTATTAGGTTGCAGAAAACCTGAGGCACCACTCATAGATGAATTGGAAACAAATGAAAACTAGCTTCTACATTTCTCTCATAAGATGTGAAAGACATACAAGCATTACTAGAATGAAAGAAGAATACTAAACTCATCTACGTAGTTTTTCTCATCAGTTGATGGTCAATTATGGAAATAACCAAATGGGAAAAAATAAAAGTAGAGATAGTTCTCTAATTACATTTCTCTTCTAGAATGCGTGCTAACAATTAGAATAAGTAAAGAAAATAAAATGAAAAAAACTAGACTAACAATCTCGATTGTTCTCATAAAACTGAGAAAAGGATTAGGGATAACTGATAGAACAAAAAAGAAATCGAATGAAACAGAGTTTCTTAAAAACTCTCGTCAGACTCTTGAGATGCATACACATAACTGGAAAATGAATATAAGTATAAAGTAGCTTAATTAGGTTTTCTCACAACTTAATGGTTAATTATCATAATAGCTTCATGATTGAAAATAAAATTAGGAATACTTTTGTGTGATTACATTTGTCTTTCTAGACTGCGCAATAACAATTACAATAAGTAAATAATATAAAATATTTTTGTAAAAAAAAAGACGTAATAAAAGGAAACTTAACTAAAGTCACTTTCATTTTGTCTTATTAGATTATAGCGATGCATAAATTTTACTAAGAAAGGAATAGAAATGTAAACTAATTGAATCAGTTTTCCTCATGAAGAAATAGTCAATTATGGTAAGTGAATAATGTAAAACTGACGAAAATCCAAGTAATTATTTGAATTTCTCTTATGAGCTTCCGATAATGTTTTCAAATAGATTGTGTAAAAAAAATGAAAACCAAACTAAACTAGCTTTCACTATTTGTTTCATAAGATGCGAAAGATAAGTATATAAGTATGACTTGCAAACTAACAGAATATTAAACTCACTCATTCGCGTTTTCTCCTAGCGTAGTGTTTACTAATCGTAATAGATTAATGAAGAAAATAAGAGTAGACATTATTTTCCAATTACTTTTCTTTTCTCCAATGCATAATAACAATTACGGTAAGTGAATGACGCAACTGATTTATAACTAAATTGGATTTCTATTTCTCTTATAAATAACAAGAAAAACTTAGGCATTATTGATGCAACAACAGAAAATAAAACTAAACTGAGTTCAATTCAACTTATCCTGATCAGAAAGACATATAAGCATAATGGAGAAAGGAATACAATAATAACCTAGTCGAGTTAGATTTGCTGATAAAGTATTAGTGCATTATTACTATAACTTAATGAACGAAAGACAGACCAATTTGATTTTCTGATTACGTTTGTTTTCCACACTGTGGATCATCAATGACAATGACTACATAAGAGTAAGCGAAAAAATACTAAAATGACCACTCTCTTTCCTATTAAAAGCCTCAATTATAGTTTAGGTATAACACATAGAAGAAGAAGAAATTAAACGAAACTAAATTTCTCAATCTGTCTTATCGGATCTGGTATATACAAAAGCATTACTGACAAATGATAGAATTATATAAAACAACGAAATTCATTTTCCTCATAAAGTAATGACTAATTATGATAATAAGTAATTCAATCAAAAAAAAGGAAAAGTCGAGCTAATTTTCTGATTACATTTGCCTTCTATGCCATACAATAACAATTACGATAAGTAAGGATGTGGGTGTGTGAGTGTGGGTGTGAGTGTGGATGTGGATGTGGGTGTGGTTGAAAACGAAAAATACCCACCCACACCCACACACCCACGCCCACACCCACACCCCACACCCATATCCACACCCACACCAGCCCACACCCACACACCCACACCCTTTCCAACAGTGACAGCTTTACAATAGAAACAGAAGGTTCTCTCGAAGTTTCTGATGTCGATCATTTTGATCCGGACTATCCTTTTGAAATCGAAGATGATGAAGAGCAACAAGTAGTCGAAAATCGTCAGTTCAGGTTAGAAAACATGCAAAGGGTTGTCGACTTTGCTCGTCCAGGTGTCGCTTTTACAACCGCACAGCATGCTTTTCGACGAATTACACATCCTATGCAATTAAAGCGATTTCGAGAATATGTTGCAAATAACGGAAAACGTCGGCAAAAATTGGAGCGTGTAGAGCATTTTGTACTTGATAGATTTCGCTCTGCTCGTAATAACAATTTACCTGTGCACGATCTTGACGTGAAGCGATGGACTCTATCCCAAGCAAAAACAGAAAATATAGATGACTTTAAAGCAAGTGACTATTGACTTCTCAATTTCAAAAAACGCAACGATATATCTTCCAGAAAAGCGATAAAATTCGTTTCTTATCGGGAAATTGTTGATAAATCTATAATTAAACAGACTGCTGATGATTTTGTCACTGAAGCAACTAAACATATGCCAAAATATAAGCTTGATTTTGTGCTAAATGCCGACCAATCCAGTTTTAATTACGAAATAGCTTCGAACCGTACACTATCTTATGCAGGAGAGAAAGCGACTTATCTATCAGTAAAATTTTTGAATTCTATAAGCTATTCCTATACAGTTATGCCGATCATTAGGGCTGCTGGTCAGTTGCTCAGTCCTGTTTTTATTTGTCTTCAGGGATCCACGGGTCGGTTTCCAATTACAAGAGCGGTCTTTTCAGCATCAAATATAGTAACTAGTTGCAGTACATCTGGGAAATTAAATAAATCCTTAGTGGAATACTGGATTAAAGAAGTTCTCGATAAAGTAGTCAGCAATCGATTCCTTCTTGTGGTCGATCAATGGTCACCGCAGACTGACATTACTGTATATGAGAATAACCTGACAAAAGGACAGTCATGTAAATTATTAGTGATACCTAGAAGAGCAACATCAACTAAACAACCGTGTGATACTTATTTTTTTCCGACAATGGAAAATGTTAACAAAAAGAATATATCATCGTGTATCTCTAGACGAATTAGACGTTGACTTAAGAAGTCGTGACGCTATAATCAAACTACAAAGTCTGATTCATAATCAACTGAGTTCTTCTTTATTTAAACCAATGATTTCATACGCATGGTCAACTTGTGGCTACATTCCTAAACAATACTCGAATTTTTCGAACGTTATAGACGTCTGTTTTTCTTTTGATGCAGACAGTTGCTCAAATAATAATTGTGAACAGAGTGCATTTATTTGTTGTAGTCATTGTCGACGAATATTGTGTTTCGAACATTATTTCATCGCGTATCATTTTCATTGATTGTGTTCTTGATATGTTTTCCGAATAAAACGAATGAAACGATAAAATGATAGTCTATGCAACTCAAAACACGAAAATCATAAAGCTTAAACTTTGGAATGTAGAAAAAAGCTTTCTTATGCAACTTCGGTTGGTCAAATTCTATCATGTAAATAATATTGCCATGCACAAAAATAACCTTGAGAATATAAAGATCACCGTTTCTTTAAATAGTTTCGGGTGTGATATGTGAGAATCAGTGGCTCAAAGTACTATAAACAATTTTAAAAATTGCCTTTCTATGCAAATGTTGTGCTTAAAAGTTCGATATTTCCAGTGTTATTCTGTACAAATAAAACTTACCAATTTTCTCATTTGAGGTCTGTGGGCAAAAATGGAACATACCACAAGAATCAGCTCGTCGAGCTCTACAAACTGGTATATATCCCATTTAAAACTGAGACTCACACTTGGAAATGTTCCCTCATTAGTCAATGGTATAACAATTCGACCGAGAAGATTTTTGTCTTTAAATGGTTTCTGATGGAAAAGAGATGAATGTAATTAAAGAAAAAAAAGATGAAATGACGTAGTTCAACAATCCTTTAAATGAATAGTTTTTGTTTAATTTAATTGGACAATGAAAATAAATGAGTTCATCCAATAAATTGATTCAACAATACTTATTCAACTTCCAAAAACTATACACGACTGAAACAAGATAAGATAAAAATATCTTTTATTTTTCATTGATTATTCATTTAATCAATGAAATGTTTTCAACTGTTAAGATATTTATCTTCTTCTTCAATATTTTTGTTTTCGATCTTGAATATAAATGAAATGGAAGATAAAGATAATTCATCATCGACAGTCGCATAACGTTTTCGGCATATTATTGAATAATATGTTACTGATCTTATTCTTCCTTATCGAATTTCATCTCTTTTTCATCGTGTCATTATGAAAAACATTTGAAAAATGATTTTATTCAAAGATTGAAATAATATTCAAATTTTCATTATTTCAATGATGTTTTCTTTTTTCTTTACTTAACTATTGAGAGTGGGGACGTGTGTGAGTATTGTGAGGTGTGGATAGCATACAGCCCACATCCCATACCCTAATTTTGTTTTTTTTATTGAAGAATATAATAATATTTCAAAAGGATTTCTCTAAAAGTTTCTTTTATAAGTTTGAATTCGTCAATGTACAATGTGAACATTTTCTTCTCTAGGGAAAGTAAAATGATACAATTTATTTGTACCATTGATATAAAAATGTTAATAAAATATTAATTTGTTTTCAATTTTAACAGAATTAATTCTTTTTAATTCCAAATTATTTAAAATTTTTTTACATATCAGTTTATGAGTTTTGTCTTTCATTATTTGTTAGGATTTTGAATACAATCTAGACGTTTCCAATACCACTTGTGTTCTTCTTCAAGTCTGTATTTCTCACATATGTTAGCAAATTTTTCATATACATCGCAAACATTAAAATGAAATGTTGAATAAAGTTTACGCAAACAAATAGGACATAGATATAAAGGTTGTCGATCCATTTCAGTTTCATTATTTGCACCATTCATCAAACAAATATAATAAATACAATGCTTTAAACCAAATAAATGACCTAGTTCATGTAGAAGAATCTTTACGCAACGTCGAATCATTATGACACGATGTTCATCAGTCAATGGAGATAAAAATAACGTTTGTGGTGATGCAGGATATAATGGATCTAGACGTGCAAATGAATAAACACTAAGACCATCTATTATTCGTGCTTGTCCATAAACCCAATCCTCAACCTCATCAACATAAATGTCAGCCATGGTTATAGCAACACATACAAGTTCTCGTCTTGAATTACGTTTATGACGTATTCGAGATAGGTATTTATAAAAGCCAGCTGTTTGATATTGTCTTATACCATCTTTTTCTCGATATCTCATGTCTTCCGAAAAGTCGATAGCTGATAATAATTCAACTTCACAGCCAGGAAAAAATATACGAACAAATTCAATGATTATATTGAATGGTATAACTCTGAAATTTCATATTCATAATTCACGTGGAAAAAACCATAAAATTTAATTTTACCGTGGATGATCAAAGCTACCAATTGGTTGAATATAAATAGTTTTGTGACTATTATGCAAAAGCAAAAAGAAATCTGCTTCGTGAAAGAAAAAATAAATTAACAAATCTTCATTTACGTTGCATGAGGAACAGCTTTTGATGTTTTACGTTCAAATGCTTTCATAGTTTGTCCTTTTTCTTTATGACTTCTCAACCAATCATCGTCACTAGGTATTGGCACTGGCTGAAAGCTCTCGTCCAGTTTACTTGTTACAGCTATTTGCATGTCTCTTGGCAACTACAATAACAATCAACGATGTATAACGCAATGACAATTTGTGTACATCTAGACCTGTTTAATATTACCAAGAGCTTCAGCAATAGATTTCATATCGGGAGGTATAAAATCCATATCAACGGTAACGCAAAAAATTAATTAAAAATTGAAATTTTACAATAGAATAGAACTTGAATGAAATAGTTTAAATAGTATTTCATGAGTCAACACATCAACGATGATTAATTTCATATGAGTCTACCAATCCAATGAATTTTTCTTTGATTTATTTGAAACATTATATATGCAAAAGAATGTGATAAGACAAGAGCGATCTCTAGCGAAAAACTTGACTGGCAAAACTTCGTACAAATAGTCATATACGACGAAATCTTTGGTAACATCATAAAAATTTAATTGGTTACGTCCTTAATACAAAAGAAAGAAATTAAGTTTCAAAGTTTGTTTTAAATATTCGCAGCGTATAAGTCAATTTTAGAAAGAAAACTAAAACAAACGACACGATTTTGATCTATTATTTTTCATCTTTAAATCATATTTACTCATACCAAAAGCTATATTTACAAATAAAATACTTATTCTTGTAATTAGTTCTGATTTTCTATAGATTCGAGATATGAGAATAAACATGATGGATTCATGCAATCTCTAGTTGGATTATTCCCATATTGTAATATTATTCATGAGTAATGTATGCAAACAGGTTACTAATACCTCTGAAATGAGTAACAAGAATCGATCTGCACTGAAAAAAAATTTAAGCCCAAAACTTGTGTTATTTAAATGATGCATAATACTGTTATTCAATATGTATGGAATGGTCTTTGATGAAGATTCAGAATGATGATATTTGCGAAAAGTTGAGCAAAATAGTCAGCATCATACTGATGAATGTCGAATTAACGATATAAGAAATCGCTGACTTGCAATGCTGAATATTTCTTGTATACCTGTTTTCCATTGAAAAAATAGAAAATAAAAGAACAACTTGATACAAAAATATCAATTGTAATCTCACATAGAAATCATTCTTCCTATATCTAAATCTCCTTAAAGAAGAGGTGTGAATTCTGAAAATAATTTTTTCAGAGGAAGCAGATGATTTTATCCGTCATCAGTTTAACTTTTTTATTAATTGAATATAGTTATCTCACTTTTTAAAAACATTTTGAAACAACTTCATAGCATTTATCTTACCTTTTCTACTAATTCAAAAACTTTTTCAATACGATTTAGATACATTTTGGGATTTAAAATACATGAAAATTGCATAAAAATTTTTAAATATGGTAGCACTGGCGTGAAGAAGCTATGTTTAAGTTTTCACCCTAATACCATGGCGTTTGTGTAGTATAACCTGTGTGTAAAAAGTTTTTGTACAGCATTCTTATTTTATTGTCGTTCATTTAAAACTTGCAGAAGAAAACGAAAAGCAGTCGGTTAGAGCGAGAACGCCATACTCTGTGCAAATATATATTTAGAACTTTTTTCTGACTTAAACCTGATACATTGCGAGTAAATTTTTGATGTGTACCAAAAATGACATTTGTACAAAGCGCTAGTTTTACAGATTGTGGTAAATATGTTTGCTCATTCTTCGGATATTTGAATGTAATTGAAGAGAATTGAGAGTAGTGGCTCAGAACCAGAATTTTATGCTTCTCCTCAATACATTCTTAGAGTTTTATTGAGACTTACGGTTAGTTAGTCGTAGGCAAATATCTGTATAATTAAAAAATATCGTTTGCAATAGGCTGTTTTCTCGTGGTTGTAAGTCCTCTACAGAGTATTATCGAATAATTTCTATTTCCTATTTTTGTAAAGTATTTAATGTTTCACAAAATCTTCAGCTGCAAACACTTTTCGAAATGCTACTCTTTACATGAGGTGACAGTTTTCAAAATAATCTTCTTTTCCAAATTTTGATATTTAAAATGCAATACATTCTAACGGTTTCCAATAGTCTTTAGGAAACGAATTAAATTGAACGTTTTGTAAGACAAGCTTCGCTCTACAAACCGATGTTTACAAAGACTTTCTTATAATTTGAATTGATGTAGAGTTAATCAAGATACAAGAATGAATTACATAGCTAATTCTATAGAAACAATGTTTTTAGTTCTTATTAAGTATTTTCTCTAAATGAATCAGCTTCAGGTCAGAGAGGAATTCTGAAAATATATTTAGAAAGAGCATGAAATTCTATCTTGCACCTTATAAGCGAACGAAAATCGAACAGAAATCTTGTGCAAAGACTTTTTACACTTAGGTTATTCACCAAATTAAGTTTAAAAGCAGTTAATTTAGTAACTCCAAATTTTCGGTGGACCTTCATTCTCTAAAATTATTTCGTTTGCTTGCGGTGCATCTCAAAAGTTCACCCACAATAGAGCGCTTTCATTGTATTCTCATTTTTCGAACGGAGAAAAGAGGTAAGAACTTCAAAAACGAAAAGACCTCGAAAAAAATTAAAAAAATATACTTTTTTTTCTCGAAAAATTTTCAAGCTTTGGTCTTTCTAAGCGTGTTAGGTTTAATAGTAAGAATAGATTGAGAGCATTTAAGTCATCAGCTCAACTTTGCGCTACTCGTTCAAATACAGACATTAATTATAGAAAATAATGGTTGATAGTTCCTTACATTAGATTATGGGTGTTTGTGACTGTAGATGTGGATGTTGGTGGGGTCGGTGTGAATATGTGCTTGGTGGACTTTCGGCTCATTCTAGTACTACTTCAGACACCCCCATCCTGTTTGGTTTCGCTCAAAAAATAAGCTTATTATATCTTCTTGACGACATTCCATTTTTCATTTTGAAACAATTGATAAACTATCTACTAGCCTTAAAAGTGTTCTGATATAATTCCTCAGCTTTTTCGAATTGCGTAAAACTCTCAATTGTTATCATAAACTACTTCTTCAATGGTCATTTTGATATAAATTTCATTTAACATAGATTCTTTGATTTCTTTTAGTTTGGAGGGTGTGGGTGTGGATGTGGGTGTGGGTGTGAGTGTGAGTGGGGGTGGGGGGGGGTGGGTGTGGGTGTGGGTGTGGGTGGGTGTGGGTGCGGGTGTGAGTGTGGGTGGATGTGGGTGTGGGTGGGGTGTGGGTGGGGTATGGGTGTGCGTGTGCGTGTGGGTGTACAATGAAAATATTCTTACACCCACACCCAAACCTACACCCACCACACACGCACACCCACACCCATTCCCACACCCACACCCTATTCTACATCCACACCCCATACCCACGCCCACGCCCACCCACACCCTCACCCATCCACGCCCACACCCGCACCCACACCTCACCCTACACCCACCCACACCCACACCCACACCCCACACCCACACCCATACCCACACCCCACACCCACACTATACTTTCGTTTACGAGATAATTGCGATATAGATCACATTTTCTGAGCTACCTTGTAGGTTGAAAATTGAATATCTCAGGACAGGAATGCCAAAGACACGAATCCTTCTAGGAATGTGCTAGTCTAGTGGTCTCCGCTATATTCCCAAAGTATGAGCTCAAAAGCGGTTAATTATTTTGGGCGGTTCTCTCGTGAATTTGTTGTGTTCTTAGCGTTCCATGAATTGTTTGAGTTATTTGAGCTCCTTGACTTTGAGCTCGTTGAGTTCTTTGGGATCTTCGAGTTGCTACGGTTGTTTGAATTCTTGGGTCCCATAAGTTTCTTGGATTCCTCGAGTTTTCTAGGTTTTTTGAGTCCATTGAGCGTCCTGAGTTCCTACAGCCCTTGGATTTCTTGACTTCTTTGGGTTCCTTGAATTCCTTGAGCTCTTAGGGTTCCCGGAGTTCTATGAGTTCTCTAGGTGGAATTGGATTGTGCTACTAAACGCTTATTATTTTTGATTCCCGTTTGAGTTTGTAAATCCTCAACAGGTCAAACTTCATGGAATTCGGACACTCTCGATCTAATAGTGCCATATACCGTATTTTACATCCTATTGTTCTGATGTTGTGATAAATGTTTACTAAACATTCAAGAATAATACTTTTCTTTGCAGCATCGGCATCACGGAGCCATTTCATCCAAACAAAAATCATTCACTCGCTTTCTTTTTTTTCTCACAACTGAAATTCGTCTGTTTTTTGTTACTGATAAAAGGTTGCCTAAGGCATTTTCTTTTATTCTGTTTACAGTATTGTTTGAAACGTGAAGTGAAGTGAATGCTTTTTCTTTCGCTTTCTTTCTACTATTTTCATAAGGACGTGAGTTATTGAAAGGTAAACAGAACGAACTGTTGATTGTATGTTTTTTTGTTATTTTTGTGTACTTTACTGTTGTGTCGATGGTGAGCGAAGTTGGAGATTTTTCTTTGTATTCTTGTATGTTTTTACCAAATGAGGAGAAAAATGAATCTTTGCTCATTCGTACTCGACGTTCTATGAAGAAATAAGATATCAAAAACAATTTACATTTGATTGAAAGTGATATAGATTGCAACCGTGTACAAAAGAACATGATAGCTATTAATAAAATTGAATCTGCAGCTTGTCTATATCAAGCTTTGATGCATGTGTAGCTATCAGGGCTCGAATCAGGCCACTTTTTTGCGGCCTGGCCCGGCCCGAAGTGGCCCAGCTTTTGTTTAGGACCGTCCGGTCCCATTCAATTTTAGTTCAACCTGCCGGACCGTTGGGCTTTCTAGGCCCAGCCAGGACCCGAAGAATACTTCCTTTACAAAGGATTTTTCCCAATAGAATGCAAAGATCAGTTCGATAATCACTAAAATTGAAGTAAAGTTCATACGAGCTAAGTTCATTTCCTTATTAAGTCAAACGAACAAACAAAACATGTTGAACTTTATTTGAAATCAATAATGATCATTATGCATAATTCGATCTCCTTTGGTACAATTCTTTTTATTAGGGCAAACACACGAAGTGCGCCAAAGTTCTGGATGAAAGTCTTTTTTCGATTTTAATCGTTCATTAAGGTAGGAGGCAGTCGAAAATAG